ATCTGGTCCAGGGCTTTTCTTGGTTGGAAGTTGTTGTATTGCCTTTTCAATTTCTTCTTTTGTAATTGGTCTGTTCAGATGTTCAGTTTCAGTTTGTGTCAGTTTAGGTAGGTTGTGTTTTTCTAAGTATTTGTCCATCGGGATCCATACTCTTAACATGACAGCCCACCACCTCTCTGTGTTGGCAAATGCTGTAGCTAGTTATTTCTGCTTAATTTCCACATTTCCTTCACATCTCAAATTTCCCACTTGTGTCAACATTCAGAACTCCTACAAGTGCAAAATTCGCAGTAGTGAAGAGCTTGTGTCCTGCTAATCAGTGATCCACTGGGAAAGAATGAAAATGAAGAGAGAACATAGCCTGGTGGTTAATCTTATCATCTGTGAAACTGAGCTATTTATAAGCTTCTTCTCAGGGTGGTTCTGCTCACTTAAATAACCCAAAACAAAGCCTGTTGCCATGAAGTTGATCCCCACTCATGGTAACACCATGTGTTACAGGGTCGAGCCACTCCACAGGGTTTTCTTGGGTGTAATCTTTACAGAAGTTGATTGACAGGCCTTCCATCTAAGATGTTATTGGATGTGTTTGAACCAACAACCTTTAGTTAGCAGCTGGTCACAATCTGCATTATTGTTGTTGTTATGTGCCATCGAGCTGTTTGTGACTCATAGCGACCCTATGTACAACAGCCCTAACCTTGTCTCTGTCCTGTGCCAATCTCACTGTTTCTGATACACCCATCCTGATTACCCCACTCACTGAATCAATCCACCTCATAGAGGGCCTTCCCCTCCTGCGCCTGCCGTCAACCCTCCCAAAGCATGATGTCCCTCTCCAAGGACCGATGTCTCCTTACATGACCAAAGTATGCCCGACGAAGCCTCAGAATCCTTGCCTCCAAGGAGAAGCCCGCTTTAACTCTCTCTAGGATAAATTTGTTTGAGGTCCTGATTTTATTATGTCTGAAGCTAGACCTGGTTATTGGTAGGTTATTTGTTTGTTTGTTTTTTAATCATGCTAAACTAGGTCTTAACTAGTGAACTAAGTCTGAATAAATATCATGGAGAGTGGAAAAATTCATTGTCATTGAGTAAATTTTGAAGCATAGGGATCGGGCAGGACAGAATAGAACTTCTCTTTGGGGTACATCTTTCGCCCATGTAGTAGTGACTGTGTTTGAACCACCAACATTTAAGTTAGCAGGTGAGCACATTAGCCACTACACCACCAAGGCTCTTTTGAAATTGAAAAAGGATCAATAAAACTTTCATAAGCACATGATTTAACTGTGTATACAAAAATGGCAAGAGAACTTTTTTAAAGAAAACTTATAGAATATTAAAATAGGTGAATTTAACAGCTCTCTGGGAAAATGGGAAAATGGTTGGCAATAATGATTAAAGGACATATTTGAATTTGAATATGCTATTATCTAGCAATTTCTTTTCTAAGTATATTCCATTAGAAATGAGTACTTATACTTGCCAAAATAATGTATACTAGCGTATTTAGAAAAGTTACTCATAATAGTCTAAAATTTCATAATGAAGAAATAAATTGTGGCACATTGACACACTGCAAAACTATAGAACAGTGAAAAACTACTATTGAACCATGAAGCAGTATGAAGGAATCTTTCAGATGTAAAGTAGTGTTGAATAAAGGAAGGAATTATGTTTTCACTAGTTGTTGTTGTTGTTATGTGCCGTCGAGTCGCTTGTGATACAAAAGAAATAATACTGTATTATTCCACAAAGAGGAAGTTAGAAGACTGATACACAGTGAGAAAAGGGAGCTCTGGTGGCGTGGTGGTAAGAAGCTGTGCTGCAATCCTGAAGGCACGATCCTTCAGGCTCCTTGAATCCACTAGTTGCTGTGAGACAAAGATGAGCAGTCTCCTCCGATGGGATTCATTGCCTCTGACAACCGGCGAGGGTCAGCAATGGATAGTTCTGACTTGATGGCATACAACAACAGCAACAACAACAACACAGTATAAAAGCTAGAGTAAAAAGACAGTATCTTTGAGGAGGTTACTGACTTAGAGGGGCACAAAGAAGCTTTCTGAGTTGCTGAAAACATTCTATGCCTTGATGTGGGTCATATTTACACAGATACGAAGCAGTTTTACTCTGTTGCCCATGAAGCCACCATGGCTGAGCAGCAATGTGCAAACCTTGCCTGCCCTCTACTGTCCTTTAGAGTCCGTGTCATAGTGATCCTAAGGGACGGAGTAGAATTCCTTCATTAGGTTCCTGAGGCTGTAAACCTCAGTAGGAGGAGGCGGCCTTATCTTGCTTCCATGTCGACCTTCGGGTAGCAGCTCCACACTTGACCCACTACACTATCAGCGTTCCTTAGCAGCAGATATATCTGTGTAAAAATTAATCCAGCTGTAAGTGTGTTGGAAGCAGGAGTGGCTTCCACTTCCTAAACAACATGTGAACTTTGTTGTTGCTTACAGAAAGGTTTCAGACTTCTTGTTCATAGAGTCGCTATGAGTTGTGCTTGACTCGAAGGCAATCAACAACAATGACAACATATATTTGCTATCTGTGCATTTTAATACATATATGCCATGTTTTAAAATAGCAAAAAAAACTAAACCAACTTTGAGAAGCACTGCTTTAGACTGTCACTATTTCTAGAACCGGATAGTTGAAATGAGCATCTTTGTAGCAACATCTCTGCCATAGACCACTTACCTTCAATGATGTGATCCACATGTTTAAAAGCTTCATCTATGTTTCCTTGCTCGATTTTTTTTTCACCAGAAAGAAATGAATTGTGTTCTAGGGCTTGCTATGATGGAAAACCAACAAAACAAAAAGGTAAGCCAATTATTATCTTTATTATTTAATAATTCAGAAACTTTTCACTTAAGTGAAAGTTTTCAAATTATACTCATTTTCCATTTGATCATTCAGAAATATTTTGTTTCATAACATTAACAATAAAGTCTGATCAACCCCTTCTTGTCTATTGCTTTTCTTTTTACCAGACTTATCTGTTTATTAATTTTCACCCCATCTCTTTTCCTTCTAATCTCTGATAACAATCCAAGAATGATCCTATTGTATGTAAACCTTTCTTTAGCTTTTCATAATTATTGTTGAGTACTATCAAGTCAGAGCTGACCCATAGCTGACCCTCCAGCGGTTTTCAGAGGCAATAATTGCATGGTAGGAGAGTGCCCATCTTTCTCCTGTAACTTTTCAAAATAGTGGTCTTATATAATGATTGGACTTTTGTGACTGGTTTATTTCACTTAGCATAATGTTCTCTAGATGTATTCATGTTATATAGTATTTTGTGAATTCTTTACTGTCTTTTAGTGTTGCATACTACTCCATTGTGTGAATGTACCATAGTTTCTTTAGCCTTTTGTCCATTGATGAACACTTAAGTTGTTTCCATTGCTTTGCTATTATAAATAATGATGTCATTAACATGAGTGTGCACATATTTGTTTGTGTGGCACCTCTTCTTTCTTTGGGATATATACCTAGTAGTGGAATTGCTAGATCTAATGGTGTTTCTATTCCCAACTTTCTAGGGAAGCACCAAACTGCTTTTCATAGTGGTTTGTTATTTTACATTCCAACCAGCAGTGTAAGAGAGTTCCGATCTCTTTAGAATTTGATTCATAAGTGAGAATGAATCTAATGAATCATGAATTAGAATAACAGCAATCGACAATAACTAATGACAGCAAATAGATTATCTGTCTCACATCAATCTCGGCCAGATCTGCACAGCAAGATAATCTGAGCAGTGTGAAAAGTCAGCAGAAATTCATTAAAGTGACTTACTGTTGACTTAATGTTTTTGTTCAGGATTCTGGGAAGAACCTTAAGTGAGATATAGAAAAAAATGGTCCTAACAGCCTAGAAAGCCAAGTTTGTTATTAAGGTGTAAATTAAAAAAAAAAAAAAAGGTGTAAATTTCAAGGCAGGCAACAATACAAGTAATGAGAGTTTAAGAAGGAGGAGACAGTAGGGCCTGTAATGTTCAGGGATGGTTTTTGGTATGTACCCTGAGGTGAGTCATGGAGTGAGTTAGGGAAGAAAGGAAAAAATCATTGGAAGTCAAGGGCATTGCATGAAGAAAAAGTTTGAGAATGAAACCAACTAGAGAGCCAAAATGAGGACAAGCCCAGGCTGTCTTGGTGCAGGTTTCCTTCAAGTAGTAGAAGGTGGTGAGCTTGGCAAGTGGGTTGAAGCTGGTCTATGATGAACCTTTAATACCATGCCTAAGAGTTGGGTCTTTTATTAGGGAAGTTAATGGCTCAGAAAGTCACTATGGAGGGTGGTTGTTAGGTGTCACTGATTCAGTAATCTTCGTGTGTGTGTGTGCTGCAGATCTTTCTCCTGTGGAGTTGCTGAACAGGTTTAAATCATCATGGCTGCAGCTAAGTGTTCATTTGTTGCATCGTGGTGGGTAGATGGACTGAAACCGAAGACTAGGACCTGTTGAAGTTGTTATTGAATAAACCTGACAATATAGTGGTAATGACTTGTGGGATGAGGTGAAAGTTAGAATGGAAATAAAGAATCAAACTTAAAGGGCATTTAAAAGGATATATGCAAATGAGTTGAACCTGGCATCTGTTGGAAAGAATAGGGAACAGAGAGGATATAGAAGACTCAATGCTACTTGGTAGGGTTTTGTATTGCTTATACATCCATTTATCTATCCCTTCATCTTCTGACAGACAGGTATTGAACACCAACTCTATACAATTAGCACTTTGCTTGGCACTCAATATATAAAGCATAACAAAACAAACCCTTGCCCTCTGTAATAATAATTAAAGCAAAAATAATGACTAATATTTACTGAATGCATCTGGTATCCCAGGTACTGTTTTTAAGCTCTTCTACTCTCTGATGACAATCTTTTGATAAACGTAATTTTATCCCATTTTGAAGATGGAGAGGTCAAATAATTTATCAAAGTTTTAAAAAGCTATTAAGAGACTTCAAGGTAAAATCAGAACATGAACCCAAGCTCCGGCTCCAGAGCTTGTGCTTCCTCAATGAGGAGTTGGGGAAACAGAGGCTCCAACAGAAAGGTGGTAAATGGTATCATTCTTCTGAGTTTCACAATGATCTGGAGTTTTCCATGGACGAGTTTTGTGTGGAATATGACAAGACACTTCTCTGGTGTTGCTGTATGTCCTCTTAGGTCATGGCTTGGCAAGAGCCATGGGCAGAGCCCACATGATGCTTTATTTCTTGGACCTCTGTTCAAGCACTGGGTTGAGGGTGGGGAGAAAGGGAATGAGCTCTAGGTAGGCAAGGTTTGAACATTCACTTTGAGACTCAGGTTGCTAGAACTGACGCTCTAAAACTATAAGCATAACAATGAACAAGATATTATCAGGGACGAAATTATGCTGCTTTATGATGTAAGGGGTTGAATTCTGCAAAATACAAATTCCTCTCATCCCAGTTCTTCCAGAAGACCCAAGCGGCTCCATTACCTCTATTGTTATAATCCTCGGTTCTATGTCCTCATAAGCAATCTTCACTTTTTTAGCTGCTTCTTTTGCATGAAGGTAGGTATCAGCAGCTACCGTACAGACAATCTGACCCACACAAATGACCTGCAGAAAAGCCACATGTAATTAGAACTCAGTGAAAAGGAATCACTGTTTCCACATTCTTACATTTATCCATTTTTCATAGGCTTGGTTCCTATTGTAACTAAAGAAAGATTATTTTCTACCTATGAGAATAAGCATAAAACAGTGACATGATGGGAAAAAGTATTCGGTAATAACATATCAGATAAGGGACTTATATCCAGAATTTATGAAATACTTGAGCACCACAACAAGATAAAGGTAAAGAATCCAATAGAAAAATGGGCACAGGATATGAACAGGCACTTCACCGAAGACGACATTCAGATGGCTAACAAACACATGAAGAAATGCTCAAAATCCCTAGCCCGAAGAGAGATGCAAATTAAAACAACTATGAGATATCATTTCACCCCAGTCAAAATAGCAAAATTTAACAGAACAGCAAGCAACAAATGCTGGCGAGGTTGTGGAGAAACTGGAACCCTGATTCACTGTTGGTGGGAGTGTAAAATGGTGCAACCTCTGTGGAAAGCAGTATGGCGCTTTCTCAAAAAGTTGCAAATAGAGATACCATTTGACCCAGCAATTCCACTACTGGGAATATACCCTGAAGAGTCCATAGCTGACATCCAAGCAGATATATGCACACCCATGTTTATTGCAGCTTTGTTCACAATAGCAAGGAGTTGGAAACAACCTAAGTGCCCATCAACAAACGAATGGCTAGAGAAGCTGTGGTATATTCGCACAATGGAATACTATGCTGCATTAAAAAACAAGGAACTCATGCAATATTATTCAAAATGGTTGACTCTGGAGAACATTATGCTGAGTGAAATATCCCAGTCACAAAAGGACAAATATTACATGATGCCACTGTTGTAGAATGGGACCGTCCTTGGGGTTAGGGAGACACTGAGTAAGATGGGTTCAATAATGTATACTGCACTGAAGCAGAGGAGGGAGAGAACCGTCTAAAAGAGAGATGTAACTGGGTATTTCTGTCATCACAGGAGACTAGAGTGAGGGCTGCATGGTGGAGGGGACCTGGGGGAGGGTTTGTAAAACAATGAAAGAATCTTTTCTTTTACTTTTCCATAATTTTTGGACTCATGTACTTATAACTTGTTAGTCAAATTTGTGTCTTCTAGGTTGCAACACCCCCATGATACATCTTGAAGGATATGTACATGTACAGCCAAGCACAATCAATAAGAGTGCATCTGAATTCCAAAATCAGTCTCCATAATAGTCTATGTGTTTCCTACTGCCAAAGGGGCCCTTTAGAGTAGTGAGAGAAGATCTTCACCCTGAAACCCACAGCGTCCCTTTTCAGCAGGAAGTAGCTAAGAGAATACGCCGTCCCCTTTTCCTTATGACTCAGGGTGAAGTCTCTCTCAGGGAGGAGTGATAGGGAATGGCAAAGGATACACTGACAAAGAAGATTAATCAGAACTGGCTTTGACAAGCACTGTGGCATTTGGACAAGAACAAACTGGGAGGAGGGTAGAGAGAATAGTGCAACAATGAATGAGTGGAAGCCCAAAATCTCTGTAAATGTTTATGAAAATTAATAAAATATAATTTAAAAAAAAGAACAAAATAATCATAAATTAAAATAGTTAACTAGGGAAGGAAGAATGGGGGGAGAAAATGTGCAACAATGGATGAATGAAAATGCAACTTTTCTGTAAACTTTCGCCTAAAATCACAATAAAATAAAGTTTAATAAAAAAATAAAATCCTAAAAAAAAAACAAAAAAAAAACAAAACAAAACAGTGACATGAGTAAGCAGTAGGTGTGGACACAAATTGGGTGCAGAATTTAATTACCTGGCTTTAATCATCTGGCTTCTGGTTATCTTAACTGTATTCCTTGTCGTTTCTCTATCACACACTATGATCTAATGTTCCTAACTTTCTGTTGACTCTTTTACTATCTTATGCTATGTATTAATACGTCCTGGTGGCACAGTGCATTACATGTTATACGTTGGGCTTTTAATTAACTTCACCACCAGCTGCTCCATGCAAGAAAGATGGGCAGTTTCTTCCCATAAAGATTTATAATCTTGGAAACCCAGTGGAGAAACTGATGGCCATGAATTGAATTGTTGTATTATCACTATTAATGAGTCCTGAGGGTGTAGTGGTTAAGTTCATGATTACTGATAGAAAGGTTAGCAGTTTGAACTTGTGTGCTTCTCCCTAGAAGAAAGATGTGCTCATCCTGTAAATATTTACAGCCTTGGAAACCCCACAGGGAAGTTCTATTCTGTCCTATAGAGGTGCTCTGAGGCAGGATTAAATACCAGCATTGGGTATATGTTACATATTGCTTCTTCAACTTTCATGACATTTTATAAGCTGTCCTTGAGAGAGTTCCCAGCTTTAATCAGAATTCAAAGACGCAGGGAGCTCTGGTGGTCTAGTGGAAAGACACTGCACTGCAATCCCAGAGGTACACGGTTCAAATCCACCAGATGCTCTGCTGGAGAAGGAGGGGGCAATCTCCTCCTGTACCAGTCAGATCTGATTTAACGGTACACGTAAAAATAATACAATAAAAAAAAAAAAAGAATTCAAAGACGCTTGATTCACAAAAGAGGGGAGAACCAATAAGGTAGAACTGTTGGTTCCTAGCATGTCTTGTTGTGTAAACTTAGAGATACTGTAACCAAAGCCAACAATTATTTCAACATTCTCAGCAATGTATTTGAATAAGAAGACACGCATACATACCACATACCTTATTTTGTGCATATAAAACTTCTCCACTATGGTTATTATCTCCAGGAACATCTTCTGCTGTTACTACATCGACAACACCTGGATGTGCCAGCACTTCTGAAGTATCAATTGACCTAGGAGGGATATTTGAAGGTAGATATGAAAGTAGCAGGAGCAAGTTCACTATGCCAAAGGAATGACTCCACAAAGAGAGAGCTATAATGGACCTTGTAACCAAACCATGAAGCAACCATCTATTGAAAATGCCAACATTTGGCAGGTGTTCTAACTCTTGGCCCAAGGTTCTTAAACAACTGTGCTGCGAAAAGAATGGTTCCCACCTAGAAGAGGAAGTGAATATTTTCAACTGACAATTTTCAATATGTAACAAATACTCTATTTGAATGTGAAATTGTGAATGCCTGTCAGTAATACATAGGAATATCTAAGAATAAAAGAATTTTTCAATTCCTTACATGATTTTTGCATGTGCTCTGGTGCTGGTGACGACAGCCAGGAAGAGTTCGTCGGCCACAGGGGGAATGTCATCACAGTATACAGCTTCCCCTGTGGTGTGTTTGATGGCTGACTTGTGCATGACTGGGTGGCCAACTGGGTCTTGTGGGGACTGATGGGGATCCACACACTGTTAATACATAAAGCAAGTCATCTGACCATGAGAAATCCTTATGCCTTGAAAATTAGGTCTGATGGTCTGACTTACTCACAAATAGAAAAAACAAAACTGTAGGCAACTTGGTATCCATATTCTGCTTACCACTCCCCCAAACAAAGCAAAAGCACAATGGAGATGTTGCTCCGAACGTACTCAAATTTACACTGAAAGAATATGGTAAAAAAAATATAACAAAAGAGGCAATTACTAGTGTAACAAAGTATGGTGGGAAGGAGGAGGGTGATGTTGAAAGAATTCAGAAAGATCCAATGGGGACCTGAAAAGATGGGGTAATAGGCATAAATCAATGGTGATTAATTTTCTAAAATACAATTGAATGCAGGAAGGTGTGAAACAGAATATATATGAATTATGCACAAAGTATACAAATTTTGTGTGCAAACCAATATAAAATAAAGTAGGGGGGAAATCAAACAATAATTTATATAAGTAATATGTACAACAAAAATAAGCAAAATACTCTGGAGATTCGGTGTGATTGTAAGTATCTAGAAGCTTTGTAGAGATGGTACATTGAGCTAGCCAGATTCTAGTTACTGCGATATAATATTTTAACATTCTTGGCATGTATCTTTTCTCTACCCAAGTCTCCTGTACCTAGAAAAGAAGCTCCCTCCGTTTCACCTTCAGTAAATATCTCAAGCTCTAAGGTGAGAGTTTCAAAATACAAGTGACCAATAAAAATCCCATGTGGAGACCATTTTTGAGAAGAATCTCACTGCTATCTGGGATCTGAAATGAAGTGTGTTGGATATTGCAATCAGTCTGTCTTATTGGCAATTGCCTAAGAAAAGAACCCCTTACATTAACAATTGGAATAGTAACAATTAGAACAAGCACTGTCATTCTCAGAGACAAAGCAACTTTACAAATGAGGCAATGAACTCCCACAACAAAATGCTGATTATATGATTAAAAAGAAAATCCCCATGTGCTCTTTCCTGTTGTTTTTCTTGCAAAAACTACAATAAAATTGCCCATAGTCCTACTCCATCTTTCTACCTTTGATCAGTCCATGCCTTCCCTCCACATGGCCCTGCCTATGAACACCGGATGTGCGTATACTAAATGTTTAAATGGTTTGATCATCCACTTTTGATTCATTTTCAATCTTAACATACCTCACCCATTACTATCAAATTATATTTTTATTACATTAAATCAAGTTAAAAGTACATCTAAGACAGGTTAAAGGATGGACAGACACTGGCCAAGAAGAGGAAAATACTTTAGGCAACAAAATGAGAAGAGTTGAGATAAAAGCTTCAGAATCCTTGTGCATCTTTGAATAGAAATATGAAAGCTGATCCAAGCAATTTGTACATAGCTGATTGGAGGTAACATTAACTGAATATAGGAGTCTTAGTCTTAAAATTTTTTCCTCTTAGAGTCCAATTTTCTTATTGTGATTTTAACTAAAGTTTATAGAAAAGTTGGATTTTTCATTCATTCTCACACATTTTCCTCCCCATTCCCCCAATTTGCTTTAAAAAAGAAATCATTGTTGCATAATTTCTCTTAAAAGACTGTCTATATAAGTCTTATAAGATTATATTAGACTTATATAGCATAGGAGTAAAAATAGTTATTTGGAATAAGGAGGAACATTTTTTTAAAATTTATTTCTTTTTTTAAATTTTATATTTTTTTGCTCACAAAGTTGGTATACACTGTGTTTCACACTATTCTTCAATCATATTATGTTTTATACAATCATTCACATGCATTACATTTTATAAAATCAATCACCATTGGACCTTAAAATTTGTTTTGTTTCTGAGTTCTTGTGTATATTTTTTGTTTGTTTTTAAATAATACAGTCTTGTATTGTTAACACATTACAGAATATGTCTTTAGATAGCCCCGTCCTGGTGGTATTTTTTTTTAAATTGCTCTTTTAGGGGAGCTCTGGTGGCTTAGTGGCAAGAAGCTGCATTGCAATCCCAGAGGAACACAGTTCAAATCCACCAGACGCTCTGCCGGAGAAGGAGGCGCAATATCCTCCTGTACCAGTCAGATCTGATTTGACGGTACACGCACACAAAATTTAAAAAAAAAAAAATTGCTCTTTTAACAAAAGTTTACAGAAAACTTGTATTTCCATTCATTGATTGTTGCACATTTTCCTCCCTTCCCCCCCATTTGCTTTTCTCTTTAAAAAGATTCTTTCATAATGTTAAAATACTTATTTAAAAAATACCAAATTATTCTCTTAATACTCCTCTTCCATGAGTTATGTATTTTTTACCCCTGAAATTTTTTTATTGAATTATTTTGTTCTTGCTGTTGAGAATGTGTTTTGATTGCATGAAGGGATTAAAACCCAAACAGCCCCACCCACTAACCTGAAACATCTGAAGCCCTTGGGGCGTCTCTATGGGAAAATCCTCCAGGGCACTCACAAATTTTTCTGGGATATCTGGAAACTTCTGTGGATCCTGAAAAAAAGATATTTTCATATTTACTTTTACAGCCAAATTGCAACTGACTTATAGCTGACTCTCCATGAGGTTTCTGAGGCTGTGACTAGCATGGAAAGAACTTGCCCGTCTTACCTCCATGTTGTTAGGTGCCTTTGGGTAGGCTCCTACTCAGAGTTTGGCAGAGTGAAATCCTGCCTGATATATATAAACAGATTACCTCATATATTATAGACTAGAATGGCTCCAAAGGGTCTTAAAAAAATGGACTCATTTTTACTTGAATGAAAGTTTAAAAATCACATTGGTTTTCATTCAACCATTCTCACACATTTTGTTTTGTGATCATGACAATTGAGTAATAGGATTAATGACATTGTCTCATCAAACTTCATTGTGTTTTCTTGGTGGAAACGGATTATTTCTTTCTTTCTTTTGTGACTCCACAAACCATTCGGCCACATCGGGACCTTGGGAATTCTGATGGAGTACTGGGTATGGAGTTGCGTTTGAATTTTCCAGTTGCTCCTTGGGAGAAACATAGGCAATCTCTTCCCATGTAATCTACAGCTTCTGAAAACCTGCTGAAGGTTCACCTGTGAGTCTGTTCTGATCCAATGGCAATGAGCAAGAGAGGGACCTCAAGTGAAAAGATACACATTTGTAAATAGAGGCTGTACTTTTAAATTGTGCCAATCTTCTTGATCAATGTCTTAAAAAATAATTGAGGGAATAGGCAAGGATTATGTTGCAAGGATGTTTGATTTCAAATTATTTGTAAAAATGAAAGAAAGACAAGTTACCTAAGTATCCAACAACAAATAAATGGCTGAAGAAATGATGTGAATCATAATTTTTAATATAGTGCAGTTGTTATAGTAGTATATTTACCAATATTGAAAAATATTTATAGAATGTTGATAAATGAAAATTTGGGTTAAATATTTTACATATGGTAAAAGAAGAATAAAATAGAACAGTATATGTATTTGAAAATGTTATTAGTACATACGGTGGGATTATTGGTCTGTGGTGGATTTTTAATTTTTTTTGCTTTTTTTATCTGTTAGTAATAGAATGTATGTGAGCTCTGGTGGCATAGTCCATGGTGAGATTGTGCTGATAACCCAAAGACTCCAGGGGTTTGAATATACCAGGCACCCTGTGGGAGAAAGATGGGAGTCTGTTCCCATATGGATTTACAGTCTTAGAAATCCTCTTCGATTATTCTCTGAATAAGACTGAGTAGGTCTTCTCCTCAGTCCTATAGGATCACTATGAATAGGAATTTATGGCAGTTGATTGTTTGGTTAGTTATTAAAGCAAATTGTGACTTATTTTGTTATAAATGAAGTAGATGAACTACACTGAACAAACATCATATCTGTGTGACACAGACAGATATGAACACATGTACATGTGTGGAGAAGAGTTCAGTGGACACACAGCATAATATTGATTAACAGTGATTATCTATGGGTGACAACCTTAGAGACACTGTGGTTAAAGCACTTGGTGCTTTGAAGAGTCAGCAGTTTGAACCGACCAGCAGTTCTGAGGGATAAAGATGTGACAGTCTACTTCCAGGAAGATTTGTAGCCTTGGGAGTGTTAAAAGGACATTCTATTCCATCTGATAGAGTTGTAATGAGTCAGAATTAACTTGACAACAATGGATTTGTTTATAGTTTTCTTTGCTCTGGTAGTCTTCCGGTAAGGAATTGCACTGCCAACCCAAAGACATGCAATTTAATTCCACCAGATGTTCTAGGGAAGAAACATGGGCAATGTCCTCCTATGCGTTTTCCTGCCTCTGAAAATCCACTGGAAGGTCAGTTATGAGTCTGTTCCAACTCAATGGTACACAACAATAACATGAATAAGAGATTCCAAATTACTTTCTCTTTCTTTCAAAGCTGTGTTCTTGAGGTTGTGTACTGCTGAGTTGGAATCAACCCATAGCTGAATTTCCATGGGCTTTCAGAGGCAATTAATAAGTTACTAAATTTAAGAAATTTTTTTAAAAAGGAAAAAGTTATCTGTTATTTAAGGAAGTTTTTTTGCTACCATTGATCGACTTGACACTATCTCACTCAAAGACAATGCTGTTGTTAGTTCCAATTCAATTGATTCTGACTTATGGTGACTCCATATGTGCAGATAATAACTACTCCATAGTGTTTTTACAGCTGTGATATTTCAGAAGCAAATCATCAGACATGTTTTCCAAAGAATCCTTGGGTGGGTGTAAGCTGTTAACCTTTCTGTTAGTTGTGAAGTGCTTAACCCTTTGCTGTATCCACTGCCAACATACTATTATAGGCAAATGGATTTAACCCGATTGCTCATGTCTTAGGGAGCTCTGGTGACCTAGGGCTAAGAAGTTGTGCTGCAATTACAAAGGCACACAGTCTGAATCCACCAGCTGCTCTGGAGTGAAAGAGAAGGGAAGAGAGGCAAGCAAGGAGCAAAGAAGGATCAAGAAGAAGCTGTTGGAGTGAGGTCCCCATCCCACCTTCCTGTTAGGTGCTGCCAAGTGGATTCCGACAACCCGACTCCATTCAACAGCAGAACTGCTCTCAGAAGGTCATTTAGACGTATTTGGCAAGGACAGATTGCCATGTCTTTCTCTCATGGAGCCCCTGGGTAAGCTCCAACTGCCAACCTTTTGGGCAGCAGGTGAACATCTGACAGTTTATGTCACCAGAGACCATTAGGTGTATTGTTAAAACCAGGCAGGGAGTCAACATTCACATTCAAAATGTCAAGGCACCCAGAGACCCAGGGAAGACGCTTACTATTTTGTTCAGTCCTCGCTTCACTTTGAGGTAGAATTTAAAGAGTAAACTGATGATGAGGGTTCGTCTGTATTCCACCATGCCACCCTCGGCGTCTGGGGGGATGTGAATCTCAGCCAGCACCAATCGACAGGCATCACTCAGCATTTGGTCATTCCATTGTCTGGATGGAAGAGTGTTAATATGTCTCAGAGAGGCCAAGACAGACACTAAATTGATAAGGCAAGAAAAGAAGGAAAACAATCTATTTGCATCTTTGAAATCTAAACAAAAACAGTCTTCAAAATAGTCCACTGGCTTTCTTTAGTATCCGAGGCAGTGGTTCCTACATTTTCCACACTAAGTCCTCTAATGTTATGGCTCTTGTCCTCAGCAGATATCTCTCCTCCGCAGAGATTCTTTACTGGGGTGGGCTCTTGACTCAGAGAAGGGACCTGGTAGTGAGGGAAGGCCCCATCAGCATTTTCCTTGTTCCCGTGACTTTGCTAATACACAGGTCACACTTTATGTTTTTAGTTTCTTGGTTGAGTTGGGGACCACATTGGGTTGCCTTGAGGGTGACAGCTGCCCCAGCTCTCTTTCAGGATGTCTGGGCAGCCCCTTTCTGGGCCAGAGATGTTACAGTATTTTAATTTCAAAGACTGAGGATGTCAATTTACCTCAACTTGCTTAGCTAAAAAAGGTGTTAAGATCAAAGCTTGATCAAAGCTTGAGATGTGGAACTTTGTCTTGTTCACCATTTTATCTACAGCAGCTAGAATGATGTGGTCACACACATGATTATGAATAAACTCACAGGAATGATTGAATAGTTGAATATAGTTATATTTTGCAAGTGAAAGTTTTTAGGTAAATATTTGGAAGCAGCAGTTATTTTCCTAAGGAAAAAAAAAAACTTGTTTTAAGTACTATTTGTTGAAAATGAATATAAGGAGTGGGTAAAAATTATTTTAAAAATTTGAAAAGAAAACCCTTAAACTCATTGTTTTTGAGTTGAAGTGGATTCATAGGTGACTCTCCGGTGAGTTTTCAGAAGTCACAGTTCTCCTTGAATCTCATACCTTTGCATTAGTAGCACAATACTCTACCCACTAGGCCTCCAGAGCTTCCTGAAGAAATACTAGTTAGAGGAATTGAAAATAGCTTTCCAAATGGTGGAAATAATAATGGTCACAGGAAGAAAGCCATTTAACCTTTTGAACGTTTCATCTTCATGTGCTCTAAGGACATCTTAGTGTACATAGTTTTGAAACATTTAGTTGTTTTGCAAGTCAATGAAAGGTCAAAGTTTAAAGATAATGCTCTTTCAGACCATGGAACTTGTGCATTAACCTTATCACAGAAACCCTGAAGGGAGTCCACAGTAAAAAAAAAAAAAAAGAGAGAGAAGATCCTCACATCACCCACCTTCCCGCGGCCTAAGATGCTGAGACTCCAAAGGTAGCCCAAATATCCCTGGAAGAGCACCCCCAGGAGAAACAAGCTTGACCATTATGCCCAAATAAAATTTTGCCTGAACTCTGAGTCAGCCATAAAGAAGATAGAAGATAACAACACACTTGTGTTCATTGTGGGTGTCAAGGCCAACAAGCAGCAAATTAAACAAGCTGTAAGGAAGCTCTATGACATTGATGTGGCCAAGGTCAACACTTTGATTAGGCCTGATGGAGAGAAGAAGACCTGTGTTCGACTTGCTCTTGACTATGATGCTTTGGATGTTGACAACAAAATTGGGATCATCCAAACAGAGCCCAGCTGGCTAATTCTAAATACAAATTTTACTCACCATAAAAAAGAAGAAAAAGAAAAAAAAGAACTAAAAATAGAGACCTTTGATCCCTGTCACAGAAAGGCTGTGACTTACCTCCCAGTGAGCTCCTTACAGGTTTCAGGAGCAGAGGCCACGGTGGGCCCCACGCTGCCATAGAACATCTTAAGGTCCTTAATAGTGTTTGTGCCTTCTTCAAACGTCACACTCATCCCAGCATTAACGATGGCAAAAGCATTCTCCTGTCGTTGAGCCTGCCGGAGCCCTGCCACAAATTCCCACTGGAGGGAGAAAACCACTCAGAACAGTAAGTGTTATGCCCATTTTCAGTGTATAGGGAAAACTTTGATGACTATTTACAGTGGGGGTGGGGGGAATCAGATGGAGCTAAGAGTTGCCATATGTTGTTACTGTTAAGAGCCACTGATGGCTCTCACTGTAGCGACCCTGTGTACGACAGAATAGAACTCTGCTCAGCCCTGAGCCATCCTCACAATCTGTGCAGTGCTTAAGCCCATCATTGTGGTCATTGTGTCAGTCTTGTCTCATTGAGGACCTTCCTCTCTTTCACTGACCACTGACGCTCCACCTTTCTAAACATGATGTCTTTTTTCAGAGGCTGAAAACTCCTGATAATACCCCTGAAGAATGTCAGATGAAGTCACACCACCTTTGTCTCTAAGGAGGACCTTGACTGCACTTCTCCCAAGACAGCTTTGTTCTCCAGAAGTCCATAGAATATTCATTATGTTTTTCCAGGACCACAATTTAAAGCCATCTATTCTTCTTTGTCTTCCTTATCCATTGTACAACTTTCACAGCACATGAAATAATTGACAATACCATGACTTGGGTCAGCCACACCTTAGTCTTTTTTTTTTTTATTTCCATTCATTCATTGTTGCACTTTTCTCCCCTCCCAACCCTCCCTCCTAGTACACTGCCCTCTTGGAAAAGTAAGAGAAAAATTCTTTTATTGTTTTAGAATCCCTCCCCCCAGGTCCACTCCACTATACAGCCTTCACTCTGAACTCCTGTCATGACAAAAATACTTAATCACATATCCCTTTTAAAGCATTTTCTCCCTCATCTGTTTCAAAGCAGTAAACATTATTAAACCCATCTTTCTCAGTCTCTCCCCAACCCCGAGGTCAGTCCTGTTTTACAACAGTGGCACCATGCAGTATTTGTCCTTTGTGACTGAGATACTTCATTCAGCATTATGTCCTCCAGGGTCACCCATATGGAATAATATTGCATGAGTTCCTTGTTTTTCAATGCAGTGTTATAGTCCACTGTGTGAATATACCACAGCTTCTCAACCCATTCATTTTTTTGTTGGGCACTTAGGTTGTTTCTAACTTCTTGCTATTGTGAACAAAGCCACGATAAACATGGGTGTGCATATATCTGCTTGGGTCAGTTATGGTCTCTTTGGGGTATTCCCAGTAGTGAAATTGCTGGGTCACATGGTATCTCTATTTGCAACTTTTTGAGAAAGCACCATACCACCTTCCACAGTGGTTGCACCATTTTACACTTCCACCAACAGTGAATAAGGGTTCCAGTTTCTCCACAACCTCTCCAGCATTTGTTGCTTGCTGTTCTGTTAAATTTTGCTATTCTGACTGAGGTGAGATGATATCTCATAGTTGTTTTAATTTGCATCTCTCTTAGAGCTAGAGATTTTGAATATTTCTTCATGTGCTTGTTGGCCATATGAATGTCTTCTTTGGTGAAATATCTGTTCATATCCTGTGCCCATTTTCAATTGGATTATTTACCTTTATCTTGTGGTGTACACCTTAGTCTTTTAACTGAATCCTTGCCTTTTCACTTTAAAGAGGTCCGTGACAGCAGATTTGCCCAATGAAATAAAGTCTTGATTTCTTGACTCCTGCTTCCATGGATGTTGTTTGGAGACTCAAGTAAATTGACATTGTTGACAACTTCAACTTTTTCTTTCTCTATCATGATGCCTGACCAAATGCCTTTTTAAATAGGAGGCCAAATACAATCAATTCACTTTCAGTGGCTAATAAACATTGCACCTATGTCTCACAGGAACAAGAGATCAAACCTCTGTAGAACCAGGCTGCTCCAGATCACTTCCCCACCTGGAAGCCAGCACGAACTGCTGACCAAATGCCAACATAGAGAGAACTCTGTGGGCTTCATGGATAGAAAGTGATGTTACCAAGCCAAAGGTGGGTGATTTTAATCTGCGGTCCTCAGACCTGGTTTTAATTGTTTTTGGTCAAACATTCTTCTAAGTGGTGTAGCACTGGTCTGTCCATTTGCAGTACAGTGTTTGGTGGAGCTCCCTGATTAAAACAAACTTGAAAGCAGGAGTGGCATCCACTTCTGAAATAGTTTGCCTCCAGAAACTCTATGAACTTGGAGAAATGATGAAAGTTATTCAAGTGTTCTGGTCTCTCATTCACAGGGTTGCTAAGAGTTGTCTATGACGCGATGGCACTTAACAAGAAACGGCAACATCATAATACCTAACGGTTGCCTATTGGTCCAGATGTGAGGACTTTTATTTTGTTTTCTTGATATTGAAATGTAATGCATACAGAGGATATAATTTTTTATCTTCTTCAGGAAATATTTCAAGTCTTCTTATTTACTTCATAAGTAAACCTTTCCTTGTAGATTTAGAGACCTTTAAGGAGAGGACTCTATGATTTATAAATCCTTGTAGTCTCTTTCTGGTTTAACATTGTGCCTGGCACATACAGTGCTAGGTGGAATATATATATGGTATACAACTATATATACGGTATAAAGCTATATATATGGTATAAAGCTATATATATGGTATAAAGCTATATCTATGGTATACAACTATATATATATGTATACAACTATATATATGGTATACAACTATCTCTCTCTCTCTATCTCTGTCTCTATCTCTATCTATATAGTTGCTGATTGACTTTGACTCATAGCAACCATTTGAACAAAAGGCCTGAAATGCCTCTACTACTATTTACTACTACATTTATCAAAGTTCATAGTTTCCAGAGGCATGTTGTTTTAGGAAGTGGATGCTTCTCATGCTTTCAAAATAATATATTGTTCACAACTAGATAGATAGATATAGATATAGTTATAGATAGAGATAGAGATAGAGAGAGATAGAGATAGAGATAGAGATAGA